TGCCGCTCGGGCCGCCCGCCCCGGCAGCCGCTGTCAGCTGAGGAGGCGCCGCCGCTTCCGGGGCCGGGCCCGCGCGCGGCCCGCCCCGCGGCCCGCCACTGAGGGGAGCGCGGGGCTGCCCGCTGTATAGCGATATGTATTGATGTACACACACATATGGAGATCTATACACACACACAGACACACATATATATGTGTGTGTACATATATACATATAGAGAGAGGTGACTCTCAGCCCTGTCCAAGAAGAGCAGATCCACCGCTACCTCACGGACACACAACACGGGCCAGGATGGGGCATACAAGGCCCCCCTGCCCCACACAGGACATGGATGTGTTGTTTCTGCACCCTGGGACAAAATAAAAATGATAATAACAGGAAGGGCCTGATAAAAATGCCCCATTTTCACCAACATGCTGGCAAACGATTCCTTCTTTATGAATATGCTGCTTGCTGTCCTCTTTGGAGCAGGTTGATGGAGTTGCGTTTGGGCACCTAAACCACCCATGCTAATATTTATTAATTAAAATATGATCTTAAATAACATCTTGATGGTTATGTGATCTAATAAGAGGCTGGCGCTGCCCATGGTAGCACAGCACACGTCGCTCTTGCTCTGCAAGGAAGCGGACCTGGCTCCACTGCCACCCAAGGCAGCATTCCCAGTTGTAGGAACAGCAGGAAGAGCATTGCCAGGTGTAGGGAACAGCAGGAAGACCATTCCCGCTCCTCGAGGCTCCCTCTCCTGCCATCGGTGCTGCTGGCACCGGAGCAGTTGCGCATGTAGGAAGAAAGGGGGAAAGGAAGGCGCTAATGTCTTTTCTGTGAAAAATAATGATGGAAAAGCCACCCTTCCCCTCAATACGGTAACGGGGCAGGGGCCGTCTAAGTGGCTGGCTTGGCACTGAGCTCCCGCTGCAGCTGTGCCCTCTTCTACTGCAAGGGCAGCACTCGTTCTGCCTAATGTGCTCGAACAGAGGCTCTAACAGCCGGCCCTGGTCGGGTCATTGGAAGTATTACTGCAATGTTATTACGTTATAACTGTCTGTCCAAATCCTCAGAAGTATTACAGAATAAATACGCTTCTGGCGATTAGGTGCACTGTGATTTACTGGTTAATCATACAGCGGCACAGGAGCAGCTCCTATCTCTTAATAAGATCAGCCAGAGCTTGCCGAAATGTTTTAGAAAAACATAGATGGGTGGGAGATCATCTATGCCCTGAGGGAGGTGCAAAGGTGCAAGACGCAATATGACAATTTTTCCAATACTTTACACAGGAGTAAAGTCTGAGGTATCACTGCTTACACTGGGCAGTGGCACATGAGAAAGTTACAAAAAAAACACACGAAAATCTGACTCAAAGATTTTTCAAAGGCTAAGCCATCTCATTTTTTAACTACATTCTCACAAAAGAGAATTATGGCAATTTCTTTCTGCAGAATTAAAGTTGCAGCATGCTGCGCAAGATTAAGATTTTCATGATCAAAAGCTGTTTTCTCTCCTGCTACCACAACTGGAATAAGCATATAAATGTTTATGTACTAACAGTGCCTTTAGAGTTGAAAATTGGTAACTTTTATTCTTCAAGTTATTAGATATATCCCATTATGCAAGAAAAATTAACAGCACTGAATGATAAATTGGGTTATGGATGGTCTCAAGATAGAGCAGACTTATTTTCAAGATGTGGTATAAAACTGCATGATAGTAAAAGAAAACAAATGCTATTTTTTAAATAAAGTTAAGATATTTACTGCAAGAACATCATCTTCTATAAGAAGCATTCAGGAATCCTCTACTGTTACTCCATAGAGACTTTCCTGCATGTAAACATCCATCCTCACCCAGAAGGAATATGAAACATCAGCCATGAACAATAATATTCTCTTTTCTCCTTTGCAGTCATGTTTCATCTTCTGTTCTTCAGTACAAATATGGGTGTCAGCCCCAGCTCCTGGAGTAATTGGTCATCATTCAGCTTTTTGAAACAATCTGTAATTTACTGTTATTTTTAACTTCTTTAACTTTCTTTTTTTCCTTTATGTTTTCTTTTGCAGTTTTCCTAAAAGAAACACATTAGAGCCTCAGAAAGCTGAATATAATGCATCAAAAAGACAGCCATTTTATAATCACATTTGTGCAGCTAAACATAAATCCTTTGGTAGCAGTGTGAAGATGGCATAGTGGGTTTTTTGTTTGCTTTGTCTTCACCGTCATTACCAGCATTGCTACTTGGCGGTCTGTCCAAGTAGTAGTTACTGCTAGTAGGACAGCTGGTGAAGCATGTCGGGCCTCTTTTAGATACAGGGGACTTCTTATCTCCTCTTGGGAGAAAACCACTTACTTTTTTCTTTTGGCCTTTTTTAAGAAGCACTGAAGGATTGTACAAATGGCTTCTCTTGCCAATGGTTTCTTAACAAATTTCTTCTTTTGCTTACTGAAAAACAACATTTAATAAAGGAGGATCAAATAGATATAAAAGGCAAAAATTAACATCCAATGTAAACAACAGATACAGCTCAATATATTTGCAGTAAGTCACTAACATCAACTAAAGCTTTTTTTTATATTGTTTATTCAAAATTCATATTGTTTATTCAAAATTCAGTTCAGCCACATTATTGCCAGCGCATGGGTTTAAAAAGATACACATACAAGTTCCTATTTTTAGGCATACATTATGTGTGGACAGAGCACTAATTAAAAATACACATATATATTCATCTACACAGATCACTCCCCAACCCCATTTGTTCATGCTAAATCAAAAGAGTAAAGGGCTCTGTTTTTCCTGGGATCAACTGCTTTTCTGTTATTGAGAGATTTTGTTTCCATTTTTATAGAAGTAAAAAAACACCACCGTCACAGTCTAAGATTTCCTCTCCACATAAACTGCAACTGTACTGCAAACTAGTAGATCTTTTGCAACCCTTA